CTTCACTTGCATGGGATGCCAATGATATTGTTCCATGTTTCCTGCATACCATTGGGTAACCTCTCTTTGGAATTGTTGTTGTTGTTGTTGTTAAGTGCCTTTGAGTCAGTTCCGACCCATAGCGACCCTGTACAGGGTTTCCGAGGGTGTAAATCTTTACGGGAGTAGAAAGCCTCATCTTTCTCCCACGGAACAGCTGGTTGTTTCGAACCGCTGACCTTAAGGTTCGCAGCCCGATTCGTAACCACTACACTACCAGATGACCACACAGAACTCACAGATAACATTAATGATTATGGGGTGTATTGTGAAGTTGTTGCTGTTGTTAAATGCCATCAAGTTGGTTCTGTCTCCTAGAGAGCCTGTATAGAGTTCCCAAGGTGATTTGAACTTCCAACATGTGGTTAGCAATCCAGTGCTTATCCTATAGTGCCCCACCAGGACTGCACTAGTGAAGTAGTTGTTGTGAAGTGCCATCGAGTCAAGTCCAACCCATAACGACCATATATAGGGTTTCTGAGGAACAGCTGGTGAGCTTGAATCATTGACCTTGCTGTTCAAACGACTTTGCAGTCCTGCGCATTAACCACAGCGCCACACGAGGACTCCCATTAGTGAAGTTGTTGTTGTTGTTAAGTGCCATCGAGTCGATTCTGACCCACAGCGACACTGTGTAGGGTTTCCAAGGAGCAGCTGGTGAGCTTGAACCAACGACCTTGCAGTTCAGATGACTTTGCAGTCTGATGCATTAGGCCACAGCGCCACACCAGGACAGTGAAGTAACAGGTTGTAATTCAGGATCAGGAATGACTCAGGATACAAGTCTTCTATCAGGACAGCCTAATTTTCAGCCATGCCTGCCATCTTACCTACCAACCTTGGATTTATTCACCACTGTAGCCAGAAGTCTACAAATCCTAGTTTCATTAACCCGTACAGCTATGTGTCAGGAGAAGCCACCGGCCTGACATCTATCTGCCTTGGGATTTGTCCACCTCAACAACTGTGTGAACCATTTCCTTGAAATAAACCTCTTTCTACATATATACACATACATACGCTTCACTAGGAGCTCTGTAGCAAGCATAGTGGTTATGAATCGGGCTGCCAACCTCAAGGTCAGCAGTTTGAAACTACCAGCGGTTCTGTGGGAGAAAGATGAGGCTTTCTGTTCCTGTAAAGATTTACAGCCTCAGAAACCCTGTGCAGGGTCACTATGAGCCGGAACTGACTCCATGGTACTTAACACCAA